TACAGGGAAGGCATAGAGGGGAAGTTTTTATATAAATATTGATAGCTTAGTATAAAATAAACTAAATTGCCAAATTTGATCAAAATATAACACCCTTTTAACTAAATACATTTGACAGATACATTGGATTTGTAGAATGTAATACAACAAAACTTTTGTAACATTGTATGATATATACCCCTTGAAATTACTAAATAGGATGTAGCACAGTACAGCGGGCCCATGCTCGGCACGAATAATAGGAGCGTGACTGTATCAGAAACTACCACTGGTAGGTACTTAGGTTAATTTTAGTGGGAAAGTTCTGTATATTCCTCGCCTAGGAATCAATAAGTTACCGGATCAGTCGTAACCTTTGTTTGTGGTTTTACTAGACCCAGTAGTTCTTGATTATTGGGCTTTAAATAAATGATCCTGGCTAAAGACCCGCTGATCTTCGTAACAAATCTGTCAACTCATTTCTTCAACACTTATTTTCCCTTACAACGCGCACCCTAGTGTGTGGGAGTTGTACAAGCATTCACAACGCCGAACTCCGATGGTAAAAGTAAACAGCTCTAATGTGCAAGGAAAATAAGATCAGCACAGTAAGTAATCATTAAAAGATTTTTAGCTACATTACATTCATAAACTCCTCTTCAAATAAGGAAGAGGGGTTATTAAGTACAGGAAAGACTCACTTAATCGGAATAATAGGGGCTGAACCGTTCCGAATAATCGTGTTTCCTGACGATCAATAGTTGGTAGGCTACTTACAGGTTCATTTTGGTAAAGTATATTATATTTTCCAACCCCCCCCCCCCCCCCTTCAACTCATACTACTCAGATGGTGAATTTAAATCAGATTGTCAAAAACCCTTCCAGTGCAAGGTAAGTAACTGCCGTAAATGTTTATGTTCCATTTTAGTTCAAGTTTGTTACAGAAATACAAGAACAATGATCAATGATTTGTATGTATCTTCCAAGCGTCCCAGATTACCCAGTTTCGGAATACGTGAGGTCAATAAAGTAGGGAATTACTATCACCTTTTATAACGTTAACATTTTACTTACTATCATCAATTAAAGTTACAGCTTTCCCGGCCAAATAGTTTAAAACTAAAAGACGAACAAAAACCATGTATTTAATATAAACTACACATATAATGTGATTCTTATAGGCTTTAGAACCAAGCATAGAATTAGATAACGAAGTTTTAAAGCCTAATCAATGACAAAGGTACCAATGGTATAAATTGAAAACACTCGGATTCCCTAGCGCACTATTAGGGTTGTCCTGCTCGTAAGAAATGTCGGGTAAGATACTATTTTGGATGTATAATGTGATCATTTATTATTTCAGTAGCTAACTTAGCACTAACTGCCGCAGCACATACTGCAACAGGGATTTCATTTGGATCAAAGCCAAACTTGTTTACTTCATGCAGTTAGTATTATATCAGTTAAATTCTGTCCAGGTAAATTTAGATTAAGATTTTGTTGGAAATTACTTGTTTTTGGTAGCCAAGCCCTGAAAATATTTTTAAGCCGATAGAAAAACACTATACAATTTCTTTTGTGTCGACATTGACCATAGTTCATCTAAATTTTAAATTTTCTTTCATTACTAATTTTCTCGTTATTTATTTTCTATTAGGCTATATGAGTTTTGTTTTGTATTGTAAAACAAAGAATAAAATTATTGAAGGTTCATTAAATGAAATTATTTACATTAATCAAACAATTTTACATAAACTTGTAAGATAATATTTTCACGAATTTCTTCGTGTTTATATATAGCTACGTTCATTTCACGTACAAATTATTGATAATAAACATAGACAAAAGCATTTATCAGCACTTTTAACCAAATATATTTCTCTAAATTAACAACCCGCTTAGTTATAATTGATAAATGAGCTTGATTTAAAAACGTGAGAAATAAGATTATAAGCGTGGGTGGTTGTTTAGTGAGCTGAATGAACAGCGCTTGATCAGATAATAAAAACACTTCATTAGTTCACTTTCATCCTCCTCCAAAAATACCAGTTTTTGTGTGTATTCCCTTGAATGAATCCATGAGAATATATTTATATATTGAGAATATATTTATATATTGAGAATGTATTTGTTTATCCATATAAACAACAACACGAAGGAGTAAGATTAGTTAATATAACCAATTATTTTAAATTGATTATGATATACAGGGTGTCCCGTAACTCTCTGGACACTTGTATATAGCGATATTCCTTAGGTCAAGACAAACACATTTCACCATAGGAACATGGGTCTCTGGTGTCTAGTTTACCGACTGTCGGCATTTATGTGTTTTTTACATAAACATTAATAACTCCTAAACGGTTTGAGATACAGCTTTGATATTTTGCAAAAATGTTAACCTTATTAAGACCTATACTCGTTAGAAATTATACCAAAAAATCGATATCCGTTTCAAAATGGCGGCCATTTAAAATATTTGATGCCAAATTTCACGAAAACCGTTAACTTTACACAAAAATTGCAAGAGACAAAAAAGTTTGTAAATTTCATGTAGTTTTCAATGATACCTTATTTGTTAAGATGGGATAAATAATAACAGAGAAACGTGTTGTTTTCGTAATGTATAACCACTTTTCTCCATTTAAACAATGCTAATACTCCTTTTACGTTGTTTAGCATTGTTTAAATGGAGAAAAGTGGTTATACATTACGAAAACAACACGTTTCTCTGTTATTATTTATCCCATCTTAACAAATAAGGTATCATTGAAAACTACATGAAATTTACAAACTTTTTTGTCTCTTGCAATTTTTGTGTAAAGTTAACGGTTTTCGTGAAATTTGGCATCAAATATTTTAAATGGCCGCCATTTTGAAACGGTTAATGATTTTTTAGTATAATTTCTAACAATAATAGGTCTTAATAAGATAAACATTTTTGCAAAATATCAAAGCTGTATCTCAAACCGTTTAGGAGTTATTAATGTTTATGTAAAATACACATAATTGCCGACAGTCGGTAAACTAGACACCACAGACCCATGTTCCTATGGTGAAATGTGTTTGTCTTGACCTAAGGAATAACGCTATGTACAAGTGTCCAGAGAGTTACGGGACACCCTGTATATTAAAAATTTCATTTACACTAACAATTAAAAACAAGGTAGCAACAGATTTTTAACTTTTATCTTTATAATGTGATTAAAAATGATCTATATAAATTTCACCGAATTACCAAAACAACGAACACATTTTAGCACAACTGACCTAATATTGCTTCTAATACATGGATACAGCGACTTAGTACTCATTGAAACTTTTGTTACTTACATAGGGAAGAATAAGTAACATGTAAATTTCCAACTGAGCGTTACATATTTGATTCGCGGTGTGAGTTTATTCTTAAAACAAATAGAATCTAACATTCTCGTTCTATTTATTAAACACACCCAATACAAAGTTTGTACTTCCATTGTCTCTGAACATTGTTCATGCAAATCTCTCTTGTGTAATTAAGTGTTTTCTAGAATTTTCTAGAATAAGAAAAAAAATGTAAAGGAAAAACGCAAATTAAATAGTAAATTTGAAATAAAAAATATTGAATATCCAATTTATCATTTACTTTAAACGTAGTAATTAAAAATTAAATCTGATATTGATAAAGTTATAAAAATATTGAGACAAGTAAAATATAGACCTACTTATTAACAAAAATAAAACTAACCATCGTACGGATATTAATGGTTCTCAAAATATATCCTTTGTAACTTAAATATTCAGCTATCCAGCCATTTTAAAGGTTTATGGTAATTTTTGGTTGATGGTAACTTCATTGGTGCTAGGCATTATTTCAACCCGTGATACTATACCAGAAGTCGTGCATTTAGACCTGTCAATCAAATAATAACTTATTTCAAAATGATAGGCTACTTTAAACATTTCAGGACAATTCCAGAATCGCCCAAAAGTTGCATAGATCATTATGAACAACCTAATTGTGTTCTTGGATTTTAGAAACGATGTTACTGCTTGTTCCATCCCAGCGCAAGCCTTCGGTCCCCGAGGTCACGGGTCCGATTCCCGCCAATCAATAATAGATTTTATCCATGTGGTAATGCAATAACCCTCAAGACCTACCCTAGGGTAATGTGTTAAACGCCGGACTAGAGCCTAGGATGCTAAAATAAGACATTAAAAAATAAATAATCCCAAAACTTGGGCCCGATCGAACGATTCCCCTCTCCTCATTAGAGTAAGAATTGCAATGACACGAAAACTCCACTGGGGCGTGGATCACTGCTTAATGCAACGATAAACAAATTATTTTTCTCAAATAAACTTTGCTCTAATTACTTTAATTTCAAAAACACAATGTTGGTAACCACTGCACACCTATAAAATGCAATTATTTCAGTATTCGCGGTATAACATAACATGGTAAAGTGTTGAGAATTCAACAAGAAGTTTGCTAGTACAGTGAGTGCAGTTTCTTTGCTATTTTTATTAGGTTAAGTAGACTTGTTGCAAAGAGGTCGACCAACACGCGACATTGAACGGTCTGTCATACAGCCAAGGTCTCTGGTATTTCCTCAATCGGCTTGGTAAATTATCGTCGTCTGTTACATATTTTGTACATTGTCTCATAGCTAGTACTTCAAAAACTCTCATATTATTTTAAGTTAAACATTGATTGCCAACTAAATTCTCTACGGAAATAATTTAATAAAATGCATTGGGAATTTTGAACGTAGACACATTTTCTATGGTAAAGAAGAATGTGCAATCCACAATAATATCAAAATACTATAACCCCCTATTTTTTCATTTTATTAAAATCTACCTCACAACCTAAAGACACTAAATAAAGTGCTTATTTTGTTATTTAAGTCAAACCGTTGTACTATTTTGATAAGTGCAATATTACCATTGAAAGATGCTATATAAACTTATTAGTTTAAGCACTTACTAAATGGGTGCAATAGTAACTATATAATATAATATATATAAAGTTCACTTACATATAATCCAATACGAAACGTCTGAGTTTACACACTTCACACACATCTGTAACAAAACAGGCTTGATTAGTAACGTTGCCATTTTATAAACTGTTTAATTAATTCTACGTCTTTGGTAACACAACTAAAAATAACATATAACAAGATTTGGTTGTAAATGTCATAAGCTTTATGTGTTAAGGAGCAACAATAATACTGGTTTTCAGTATACTGTACCTCCTTTGGTCGCATTCCTACACTTGTGAAATTCTCGCATTAAAAAGTTGAGGTGTCATCAAATATTAGAAACTCTTGTTGGTATTTTCTTATTTTGCGTCTTGGCCCAGTGACCTGTAGAAACCCGACCATATTTCTTAGGTTCGTTGTACATTGCACATAAGATTCTATTATAAAATTAAGTTCGCAATCTAAACCACGCATTTTTACCATAGAGAGAAAATAACGGATATTAGAACAAAGATTGATTAACCATAAACATATTCAAATGATGTAACTAGCCCGAAAGTAAACATGTGCATATTTTTTTATAAGTGTAACTGTGAAAAATAATAATATTAGTCTATATGTTACCCAAGCCTAAGGGGTTACTCTATGTTGAGAATTCTTACTTTATGTGGCATATTTTAAATCTACTTCAACCACAGAAACCATACTACTATAACCTAACTATAACCGTCGTTAGGTTATAGTTAGGTTATAGTAGTATGGTTTCTGTGCTTCAACGAAACGAGCTTACAATTGGAATCTGGAATTTCTTGGCTCTCGGGTCCAGCGACAAAGTAACAGTATCACCGGAAGGATTCGGGAATTGCAGCAGAAAGCGTGAACCACGGAACGAATGTCTCAGCTGTCGCAACTCCGTTCATGCTTTGTTGCTACCAAGGAAGGATCAAATGTCAGTGCAGAAATGTGAAGTGATCAAACCTTTAGTATAATCTTTATTCTCATCAACAATATTAAGATGACTTTTAAAGAGGTTACAGTTTCTTTTAGGCTTGCACTAGCTCATCCACATAGGCTACAGACCAGTGGGTGGAACGTATCCAGCACTGGGTAGGTGGGCAAGGGGAGATACAGTACAGAATGGGTGAACTGTACTGATTAAAAGTAGTAGTAAGTATCAGGATCCAAACCTATGTTATGTCATTGCTGCCTTGGGCCCCATGTTTGTGGCGCTACCGGTACCGACTGAGCCACTGACTCGCCTTACATAAAAAGATCAAATGAATTCAACACTAACTTGTAGTTTTCTAAAGGTCCATTTAACTAATTGAAAATTACATTTCACACAGATCTACTTCTCTACACATGTAAATTAGTTAAATATTGTAAAGCCCAAACGTACTTTATTATTATTACAATCTTCAGTAATTTCTTACTACCAATCCAAGCAATTTTCTTTGTACGTCTAAACACTGAGAATTAAAGTAAAACGAATGCTTTTCCATCAAAGACGGATTATCAATAAAAGGATTGCATGCTGTATATAAAAGCCAAATACACGTGCTGCCATGTTTATTATTAAAATTAATGACATCAAAGAGGCAGCTTTTCATGATCTGCTCTAACTAATTGATTCTAAGAACTAGCTAATTGCTAACTGGCTGATTGGATTCAACTGAACGAGCTTAAACACTCGTGTGTCTGACAAAGTGAAACAACTTCCAATGATCGCGATAATTAATTATTAAATAGCAACACAGTCCTAAGTAAGTGATTATGTATATGAAACATGTATTGTATAGAAAATTAATTGTGATAAAATTAGTGAAATAAGCTTTAGCTATATAATGTACTATGTTCTAATAATGTTAAAACGATCACAATTAAAATATTTCTATATGTAATCGGTGCTTTCCCATTCTTTTATCACATTTCCATTCTCAAGCTTATGTTAGGATGCAATGAATATAACGTATAAATAAATACTAGCTCATCCGATTAATCGAACAATTTTTTTTGTTCAATATAGGCTTACATACAAATGATATACTCACGTAACATAATAATACCAACCAAGATTTCGCATGATTTCAACAGCTTGCGAGTTGATAAACGAATCAACAAGAATATATTTATACAGGGCGATTGGTACTCAGTGTGACAGAAATTTGTTGGTGTAAGTACAAAGTTAAGGAAGTGTGATGATGCACATAAAAGGTTCCAAGTCCGAAAATTGGCTTCCCAAACAATTATTTTAAGTTTTACGAAAATAGGTAACCAATTTCAATTAGGCCTACCAGGAAATTTCTCAATTACCTGTTAAAGGATTTGAGTAGATAATGTCATTTTCGTGTTCTTAATTAAATTTCGTATAAGAATAAGTACCTGGGGACCGAGCATTGCTCGGGGAACCTTATTAGTATACTCTGAGAGTTTTCTTTGGTCAATGTCATCTTAACTGAAAATATTATGTATATATGTTTTTTTGGTGTTTAAAATGTCAAGAGTACATATTATATTAATTTTAAGTCAATTTTAATAAGCTGGGAGTTTTAGGTTTTTCTCTTGTGAATACAAATAAACAGGCTTCTTCTTTCTAGTGCCTTTTATTAGGCTATAATAATTTGTGCAATTCTGACTACTATTAACAACTGCTTCTTTACTCCACCAACAACTCAAATGGTCGATTCCTAAGAGACGTGTTTAGTTCGGTACATTATTAGAGTATAATAATTGGTATATCGATTATATTTGGTTGATTGTACAACAGCTAACCCAAAAGGGGATTGTGGAAATCGCTAGTTAGCAATAACATTATTTCGAACGGTAATAACCTCAACACGCCTCCTGAGAATGTAATGAACAAGTGTTAACAGTCTGTGTAACTCTCTAGAGGAGCCAATATTATGTATTGTTGGTCAAAACGCGTTAAATATCCTAGGGAAGGTGAAATGTCACTATCACAACAGACCCACAAACTAAGCCAACATAAATTAATATATCTTATTTAATCATTGCATAAATATAACATTAAGCATTCCATTCCCATGTTAATTCAATCAGTTTTAAGATGAAAATTAGCGTAACTAAATTCACCTGTGTTCTGAAGTAAATTGTGTTTTTCTGACAAATTCTAAAACGTTATGGTATATCCGAACTAAAAAACTTATTAAAAAATACACATTATTTTAAGCTCATTGTATATTAAAGTTACAACCTTAAGGGAAAATATGATTTTTGATTGTAGCACACTTTGCGACTTATTCAAGTATTTGTACAGACTTATTAATTTAATAATTAATTGATTACAGTTAGTCAATGTAGAAAGGATGTCTTCATCGGTATCCGGAAGTCAATGATTTAATTTAAACACAAAAACACAAAATACAAACAAATAAAACTACATTAGAAGCACTCAACAGCACAAATACATGTATATTATAGCAGTGCATCCCAGAACGATGAAATAAAGTGTATCGATTAACTAAGTTGGCAACCGATCAACATTGTAGACTGTAGCAACTCTCCTAGTCGCTATTTCAACATATTTTTTTTTCTTATTTAAAAATATTTGCTACAACTGGAGTAGCCGATTATATGACTAATATGGGATGTATTTATTAGTTTCAACAACTTAATCAACTAATTTAAACACAAACAAAACAAAAGTACTATAAACACTTAACAATGCGAGTGCATCACATAATCACGAGACAAAGTTTATCGATTAACTAAGTTGGCAATAAATTAGGTAAATGTAGTTAGCGGGAACGGTGGAATGGAAGTGATTACACGGGACGGTTGGTTTCGGACCGAGCAGGACCAGTGGTCCAATGTTCAACAGCTGCGAGCCAGTCTAATAGGTCTTGATTGAATCTGCCCAGCAGCTGGACCAGCTGATGTCAAATAACTCGGCACCCAAGAAAAACTTGTCAAGCTGATTACTGATTTATGCTAGCCCAAAATTTTTGTAATAATACCCCCGCCGCAGCAAACCTGCGGACTAAGCGAATTTCCATTTGCCTGATTGGATTTACGCTAAAATGTCTCCTTAAAGATATCACATTCATTCCGTAAAATGAGTACTTAGGTTTGCTGCATCAGAAAGGGTAAACGTGTTCTTTCTTTTTTATAAGATTAAACCATTTAAATTTTGACTGGCGGATGAACACGCTTCAGAAATGTTGTAGTTCAAAAAACACATTATAACCGAACTTTTAATATCGCATGACGTTTAAAGCAATAGAAGCATGGATATCATACGTTTTCTCAAATGTCTCTATTGCTTACTATGAATAAATAATCCTTAAATGTTGTACGAGATTTTGATTCTCGTAGCATAATGTTTTTGAACACCATAGCCCTATTGAGCGAACAAATTTCCTTATGCTAAAAAGACATGTAATATAGAAGTCAATCTGGGCATAGCCTCTGGGGACATCAAAATGAAAAAGTAAATCGGTCCCGGGCCTCGGTCTTACCGTGCCACCTACGGTAATAGCTACTTACCTATAGGGAAATTTGCTAAAACCCTTGGTTATATGGCGTTATTCGAACCCGGGATCCGAGGGACCGAAGTCCCGGGTTCTAACCACTAGACCAGCTCGCTCCCCTGCCCATACTGATAAACAGAAACGTTTTAGTGTACAAAACAATCCTAGAAGTCATCAGACGGTAACAATAAACTAAGTCATAATTCTCTGGAAAGTTTGGTCCGATTTCCAGAGTTGTACTACTTCAACAACAGCTGCAACATATTTACTGCGGAAAGCGTGAACAATCCGAAGGAATAAATGTAAACCTAAACGCCTAGTGACCAAAATATCAACATTGAGAAATTAACCATATCCGTTAATTAATATAAACAATTAATATATATATATTAAATATATAAAATTAAATATAAAAAATCCCTTGTAGTCCCTTGTAAACACATTTTGTAAAAATTTACAAGCAAATAAGTGTGTAACAATTAATTACCCTCGAGGCTTACCGTATTAATTTTACACACAACGAATCAGGCCTCATATTTAAACAAATTATAAAAAGTCCGAATTCAGTAACGAAAGACATTGCCACTTATTATAAGAATCATTTACTTGC